CCTGTGGTAGCATGGCTTTTGAATCAGTTGTTGTTTACGTTGGGGCTGGCGCCGGAGCTTGATCCCCAGAGGATCGTTGAGCTCTGCAAGCCGGGGGCGGCTGAGTCAGTCCAGGGGCGATTGGTGCGGCTTCCTCTGCGCAAGATGGATGTGGCCGCGGGGTCGGCCTACAACTTGGCCTTCAAGTTGGGGAATCTCATCAGCCTCAAAGGCGAAGATATCCTGCTGACAACACCATCGACACAGCTGGTCAAGTTCCATCGGCTCCGAGCTTCGGTCCCTTCACGGCTATGGAAGTGGAAGATTGTTGCGGGTTGGACATGGGTCCATGGCGAGGAACATATCAACTCGTTGGAACTTCGGGCTATTCTCAACTCAGTTCGATGGCGGATTGAACACCAGGGTCATACGCGCCGTAGGATGTTGCATTTGACTGACTCACTTGTATGCCTGCACGCTCTCACACGAGGCCGTACGAGCTCTAGAAAGCTTCAGAGCACGATGGCCAGGATTAGCGCTCTCCTTCTCTGTTCGAACTCGCAATTTCTTTGGGGCTATGTGCACACGGATAGCAACCCTGCTGACAAGCCCAGTCGGTGGGGTCACCGTGTGCGTACGCGCTTTAGGAATGCCTAAGAGGGTTTTGGAAGGTTCGACACAGGGAGAGAGAGCAGCTATTCGTAGGCGGTTGGGTACCTTGAGACAGTTGACTGTGCAGCCGGCAACGCGTCGCCGCTATGACAAGGCAGTTGATCGATTCCTTGAGTTCCTCAAAAAGGAGAACTTGACATTGCCAAGCAATAAAGCCAAGCTAGACCCCATCCTTTGTGATTACTTGGAAGTGTTGTGGTCGACAGGCGAAGGGCGTGGCCTCGCTTGTGACACCTTAGCCGGGCTCCAAGACCTGCAACCGGGTTTGCGAAATCACCTTCCGGCAGCCTGGCGGCTTCTGCGGACATGGCAGACCAACGAGATCCCTAGTCGGGCGCCACCCCTAGCGGAGCACATTGTCCATGCAATGTGCGGCTGGGCCATTTTTAACGGCTGGATCTCGTTTGCAGTGTCGCTCATGATTGGATTCTACTCTATGTTGCGTACAGGAGAAATCCTTGGCCTCCTCTCATCCCACATTGAATGTGGCGCGACTTCCCTTCAAGCTCTCATCAGCTTGGGCTTGACCAAGGGTGGAAAGAGGCATGGAGCCGCAGAGAGTGTTGTCCTAGGCTTTGAGCCGGCCGTCCGAGTTCTTCGACACTGGAAAGGGCTGGCTACCCCGGAGACCCATTTAACTCCATCGCCACCTCGATGGCGTGCCCTCTTCAATGAATGTTTACAGGCCCTAGGCATTCAGGACTGGGGATTTCGCCCCTACTCGCTTCGGCGGGGAGGGGCCACGTTTGGTTCCAGAAACACCAAAATCTGGACCGAATACTAATTCAAGGGAGATGGCACACACAGAAAAGTGCTCGGATCTATCTGAACGAGGGGTTGTCGGTCCTTAGTCAGATGAAGCTCCCTGCCAGCGACTCACGTCTCAAGCCATACTTGACAGTGTACAGAAACTTCATCGCGCACCCAAAATTTTCAACACTTGAGCCTCCTAGCGGAAGAGCTGGGGGGCGTGGAAAGAAGAATTCCAAGAGCAGAAAGGGCAGAAAAAGTGTGTTCCTT